GGAGGGCCAAAGGTTGGGGATGCCTGAAGTAGGGCCTTTCCAGGTAATTTAGTACTAGGCTGCAGTAAGCATTAGGCTTCAGTTCATCAGGAAGCCAGATGAACCAAGTTCAAGTAAGATTCAGGCGGCACTTTGCTCCATCTGTTTACAAATGCGTAAGTCACTTCAGGGCATGCTCATTAGCTCTATCATTATGGATGCTCTTTTGAAGGAGTCTGTCCCACAGGGTGCTTAAAAAATTTAGTACACCATTTCAGTTTCAAAGCACACATTTGAGGACAAGCACATAGACACAAGAGGACAAGCATACTGGCGCTTGTATCCAGAAACTGTGCAAAGGAGGGCATTGCGTCGTGATGATGGAGATGCCACTTAGCCAAAGAAACTATGCTGGGCAAAGAGGGGTGAGCAGAATGTCCATAATGAAGCAAAAGAAAAAAACGCTCACAACCCACTTGCATCTGATATCTGTCAAAGGGATGTTAATGCTTCGAATTAAAGCAGTAAAACTGCTGAGGCTGCCACAATTAAAGTTGATAATATTCAAGGTGCATAAGTGACTTGTGCAACTGAAACTCAGCTCTCTCACACACAGAGAGATTGAGCAGAGAGATGCACACACAATGAGATGGGCAGAAACAGGCAAACACATTCAGACATGAACACACACATTCAGGCAGGCACACACACACATGTATAGTCAGCTAGACAATAACACCAGCCCACAAACAGCCCACAACCACCACTTCTTTCACTCTGAAGACGAGCTGAAGAGGGTTCTTTCCCATCATACTGAGCTGAAAGGAGACCAGCCTCTCTTCCCAGCCCAACATTGTGCTGGGGAGGCAAAAAAACACCCCCTCTTTTTCTTAAGCAGTGAGATTTCATAGCTGTGGTGTCACCCAGAGGGACAAGTGTTGCCTTTGCAAGCTAAGTTAAGGGCAAGAAGGAAATGTGCCAGATTTTTGGACAGGAAAAAGTTATTATTATTATTATTATTATTATTAATCAAAGAAGTTTTGTTTTGTTTTGACTTTACAAAGTTGTTATTATACTTCACCAGATCTTAACCTATTACAGTATTTGTAAGAATGGGTTCCAAATACCATTGAATTTGTCCATGGCAAGTCTGCATTTATATGCAAGTTGTTCACATGTTGCGAGTTTGTATAAGCCTTCAATCCAATCGTAGAAGGGAGACGCATTTTTATTTTTCCAATTCATCCATATTGGTCTTTTTGCTGTGGCAAGGGCATGGAGAGTCCACTCATATTGTCCTTCAGTAAGGTTCCATGTGGTGGACATATAATTCAAAAGGATATTTTGCTCTGTAAATGTAAAGTTGCTCCATACAGTTCTTTTGGCAGTTTCAGTTACCTTCTGCCAAAAAATCTTCCAATATAGGACAATGAAAAAATGTACGGTATGTTTTAGAGAAGCATAATCCCTACTGCATCTCTAACAGTTAGTTACCTTAGATAGCCCTTTTTTAAACAAACGTAATGGGGTCCAGTGTATTCTGAATATTATTAATTGTTGTATGAGCCTCAATTTAAGGTCCAGAAACAACCTTGTTATAGCACTTAAAACAGTTTAACGCTGTGTGGTCGATATTGATATCTCTATTTCTTTATTCCATTCTTCCCTCAATACCTGTATATCAAATTGGTTTGCTAGTAACAAAGATTTATATATGTTGATGGCCAGTTTTTTTGTTGCATAAGAATTAATCAACTGCTTCAATACCTCCGGGGTCTCTGAGGCTGTAAAAGTTGTTGGATGGACAGCAAAAACTTTTCTTAGGCACATGGTTTGGTAGTGCAAGATTCCTGTGTACTGTGGAGAAGTAGGCAGATTTTGACTTGCGGGACCTAGTTTGTTTTTTTACTAAAACTCCAAAATACATCAGTCAGAGTTTGGTACAAAAGGAATACACAAAATTAAAGACTTCTGAGCCCAGGGTTTTATTTTGAAGAACAGATTTTTTAAATTGATTAATAAATTAAGTTATTCATGTGAAGTGAACATGTCATCCTTGCACACACAAAAATCAGTCTTGGCTGCACAAACTTCCCAGGTTTCTTCATTTCAGCAATACAATTTAGGGGGAGAGAGTCATTTTGTTGCTGCTATTGTTGAACAAGCAGCAGCCAGAAATCCCTGCCAATCTACTTTGAATCATCTAGAGATCTAGCAGTAGGTCTCAACCTGCTGCCCACCTCTCCACTAGAGTATTGCACACCTTGGACCTGACTTGCCAAAATGTTGCCTGCTGCTGAACTAAAACACTGATCAAAAAACAAAATAACCACGACATATATTTTGCTCTAAACTACTTCTGGGATGAGCATCATGTATGTACCAGGGATATTAATAATAATAATACTAATTTTTATTTATACCCCACCCTCCCCAGCCAAGGCCGGGCTCAGGGTGGCTAACAAGCAATAATAAAAACAAGTTGAATGAAGACAACTTAAAAACAAGATGAAAATACAACAATTAAAATATTGAAACATTAAAATATTAAAATGCAGCCTCATCACAGGAGGAGAAAGGAAAAAGAAAAAAGAAAGAGGGAGAGGGAATCAAATTGGCTCCAAAGGCCAGGCAGAACAACTCTGTCTTACAGGCCCTGCGGAAAGAAATCAGATCCTGCAGGGCCCTGGTCTCGTGAGGCAGAGCGTTCCACCAGGCCAGAGCCAGTGTTGAAAAGGCCCTAGCTCTGGTTGAGGCTAATCTGACTTCCTTAGGGCCCGGGACCACTAGGGTGTTGCTATTTATGGACCTTGAGGCTCTCTGTGGGGCATACCGGGAGAGGCGGTCCCGTAGGTACGGGGGTCCTAGGCCGTGAAGAAAGAGGACAGAGGACCTGTAATTGTGGAATAACATTAGCCTTACACACACAGGCACACACGCACACACACACTAAAAAACAACACCCACCTCTGTTAATGAAACAGAAAAAACCCACAAACTGAATCTGTCAAAAGCTCTATTGAAATCTTTGACAGCTCACAGATGCTTCGCCAACACCTTGCAGTCAGCAGTATCAAAGGGTACTGAAACGTCTAAAGGAACCAGAAGCAGTACATTTCCCTTTTTCAGTCTCCAGGCAGGGGCTGTTGTCTAGGGCCACAAGTGCAGCCTTAGTGATATACTCTGCTTAAAATGAAGATTGACAGGCCCAGGAATGTATAAGCCTCCAGGTGTGCGTGAAACTTCATGGTAGTAATCAGTTCGACAACAGCTCCCAAAAAAGAGGAGGTTGGAGACGAGATAGTAGTGAATTATTTAGGTCATGAGTTGTTTGTTGTGAGCTCAGGCCAAACTCTTGCAGATTTAAGGCCAACCAGCGTCCCTGCGAGGCATTGATAAATCCAGCTAATATTGATTTCAACTTTTCCTGGCTGGATTTCAGCAGCCAAGATGGACTTCTGTTTGCAAATGGTCATTCATGGTCATCCCTCCTAGCTTACTGTCCTCGTTAGTAGGCAACACTAATTGAAATTGATCCATGCAAATGGATAAGAATCTTGCTCCTCTTTAGAACATGGAGAGAACTTGACTGGCGCATTATTCGAAAGTACACAATCAGGGTGGGTGGGTGTTTTCGGGTGGGTGGGTGTAGAATCAGCAATGCTGTTCTGTTATTGCTTTGTAGTCATATGCATGAGGATGGCAGACCACCAACAGCATGATAAGCCTCCTGTTTCCTTCCTGGGGCTACAGAAACTGCACAGACCATAACACCAGGCTAGCATTCTATGTTGGACTTGGCTCACAACATACACAGGCATGAGATGCCTTCTGTTGACTATAAAGAAATACTCTCCTCTCTGGCACGTGACCTGTTATCCTTCTTATGTTCTGGTAGGCACATAGACTGGTTTGCTTTGTGCCAGTTATGAGGTGCATATTTAGAGGGGAGGGAAAATGGAGTTGCTTTTAGAACTGTATTGACAAATCCGTTGGTTGCTCTTATCTCTGTTTTCCATTCTTGGCATGTTTTGGGGTGTGCAATATATAGAGAGAGACAGACAGACAGACAGACAGACAGTTTGTATTTTGTAATATAAGTTACCCTACCCAAGAACCAGAATAAAGAAAAATAAGTAAATAAAAATAGCTAAAGTTCAACAAAGAGGTGAAAATTGCAGTTCCGGTTCTGCTAAAGTCAGTGGAAACCCTCTAAGGATTTCTTTCCATCCATAATTGGCAGTCAAATGCATATCAGACATTTGAGGCAGCTCTGAGTCTTGGGAGCTGAAATGTGAGAACTCAAGGTCTCTACTGCCTTGATTTTTGTGGTACTCAGGGAAAACTGGGTGCAAGCTGCTGTAGGTACCTCTAAGAGTTCCTCCTCAAACTTCACGACCAGCAAGACTTTGTCGCGTTTATGTGATTCGAATTCAGATTCCTGCCTGAGCTCCCAAAGCTGCTGTTCATGAAATGTGAAGTCTAATTCAATGTGAATTATAGCTTTTGGCTTGCCAAAATGAATAGCAAGCTTGAGGTGCCCACAAATATGAGTTGAAATAGAAAGTAGTTGCCCTTCTCAATGCTGTTTAGCACAGGTCAGTAGGTTTCATGTGAGAGTTTCGGAAGGGGAAGATACAGGGCGGGGAGGGGAGAAAAGAAAATGACAACCTATTCCAGATGGATGAAGCAAAGGGCTAGAAAATTCCACAGAGGTGAAGAATGTAAGCTCTTCAGAACTGCAGAGATGTTCCTTTGCATTACAAAACTAATATGGGGTCTGTTTTGCATCTTTAAGGCAACTTGCACTGGCTGCCCATATATGCCAAATTCAAGTTTCTTGCATTAATTTAAAAGACCCTTAACAACTCGGTTTCCAGGCAGTCCTTAAGATATACTGGACCCAATAATGATGAAGATGATGATGGAATAGGACATCTCTATTTTCATCGGAGAAATGTTGGAGGGTATGTTTTTCTTTTCTTTTCTTTTCTTTTCTTTTCCTTTCTTTTTTTTTGTAGGGGAAATGGGATGTATCAGGCCCTGTCATATGTTTGCCAGATCCAAACAAGCCACAGTTCGGGAAAATATCCTTTGTGGCGCAAGGAAATGTTTCAGACATGGCATATTACATAGGCTCAGAGCCCATGTCTGTGAATTTCTGTGCCCTAGCCTATCAAGTGGTTTGAAATCCCTTAGGCTGACAGATGCTATAGAAATGTAAAATAAGATTTTCTTTTAGCATTATTTGCAAAGTACTATTTTTGAATTACCCATGGGCATTTTTTTTGCAGGGGAAGAAAAAAAAAACACGAATTAGGGACATCTGAAGATTAGGGACATCTAAAGCTCGTATCATGAAGTGCCTCAAAGCCATTGCAATATTTTCAAGGACACCTAAAGGACAGTGAAAAGGACAGAGATCACTTGGGTTACTGCTGTGCAGCAGAGGCAGAAGGAAAGTTGGCGATGGGGTGGGGGGGTAGCATGAGATTCAGGCCCCCCATTTCTTTAAAGTCAAAGAGTACAGAATGTAGAGTAATTTGGGAGGGTTATTGTAATCCTCAGATATGGTGTTAGATAGGAAACTGGGTAATTTAATGCAACTATGAAGAGAAATAACTGCTAGGAAGGTACGGAATGTAGCGTCTCACTGTTATAACATGCAAATTATACCTGTGTATACACCCATGAAGGCAAAGAAGTAATGGAGAAAGGGGTGATATCCATATCAGCTCCTGGTGCAAATTGTAGTAATAACCTTATGTCATATCAGATTCATTGAATGAGCTGAAACCAGTAATTTCTATTCCTACCTCTGGATCTTCCTTGCTATTAGAGTCATTATCTGCCTTTCTCTGTAATAGTCTGGGAGATTATTTGGATAAAAATCTCGCAAGTGCATGTCTTCCTATTTCTAATAAAACCTCTGTCAAAAAAAGCCGGTGCAATGACTGAGCAGTGTTATGTCTGGGATTTTGAGGGCCAGGGTGCTGTGGTTGGTGAAGATTAGGCATGAGGGCCGTTGCTCAGATTGAGGGGGGCTTATAGCTCACTGGTACAGCACAACCTGTACTTCATAACTCAGGTAGCATAACCATCATTTCTCCAGTGAAAATAGGGATGTCCAATTCGATACTGTCCAACATTTAACTGATGGAAACAGATGTTCTGCCATACCCTCCAACACTTATCTGATGAAAATAGGAACTTCTAAAGAAAAGGGGGACATTTCAGGATCAATTCAGAAACTGGGACCGCTTGTGGAAATCTGGGACTGTCCCTGGAAAATAAGGACACTTGGAGGGTGTGTTTTAACTTTTTACCCAAAATGTGTTTCATGGCTTCTCCTACATGGCTTCCCCAAAAAGGAAAACATGCATGCACCATTGAAAAGCCTTTGGGAACCTTAACATGTCACAATTCAAGGCATTGGTTTAACACATACACCTCTTTACAGCTTATCCTCAGTATGTCTGAAGCGAGACTGCCTCAACCCAAGATCTGAGCTCCCTTGTGCATTATGAATGCTTTGTTGGTCGGTCAGAGAGGTCTTTTCCCACCTGGATAATGCACCTTATGACTAGCAGTGATGCTGAAGTTCATAATTCCAATTTCCTTGTTCAGAATATGAAGCTTGGCAACTAGCAATGCTTGGCTGCATCCCAAAGCCTGTATGGATTCCCAGATGGGTTTGTTAGCCTTGATGGCAATCTGATCCAGTAATGACTTTTCCCTCCCATCGCTCTTGACATTATCAAACACTCTACATCTCCAACTGTTTCCCCACTCTCTCCTCTGCCATTATCTGGCTGTGGAGGGGGAGGCAGAGGGAAATGTCTTCCTTCCTCACTGCATCCCTTGCAGGTGCCTGCAATGCTGCTGGGATCATGCTCTTTAGATGCTGGAAAATTCTGCTCCCTCAGCCACTGCATCCAGGGAAAGGACACAGGCCTCTCACCTCCATTGCCACAGGAGCCTCACAGAGAATGCTGACAAAGAGGGATTTTGAGCTTATCACATTGCTGATTGTGTTACTGAAGGGCTACCAGGGGTCAAATTAGGTTGGGAAATTAGAAAGCTACAGTGGTACCTCAGTTTTCAAATGCCTCCGTAGTCAAACATTTCAGAACCTGAACGCTGAAAACCCAGAAGTAAATGCCTCATTTTTCAAACACGCCTCGGAAGTTGAACAGGAAACGTGGCTTCCATTTTGAGTTTTCCATATGGAGGCTTTCATATTGAGACTTTCAGTTTTCGGTTTTCAAACATTTCAGAACTCGAACGGACTTCTGGATTACATTCAAAAACTGAGGTACCACTGTATTTTCTCAGGCTAAGTGAACATGGTCTCCTCAAATACTCTACCCTCATTCTGAGTGGACTCAGGATTTGAGCCCTGGTCTCCCTGATCCTAGCTTGATGCTCTATAACATGGATAAGCAAACTAAAGCCCAGGGGCTGGATCCGGCCCAATCGCCTTCTAAATCCGGTCCGCGGATGGTCCAGGAATCAGCGTGTTTTTACATGAGTAGAATGTGCCCTTTTATTTAAAATGCATCTCTGGGTTATTTGTGGGGCATTGGAATTCGTTCATTATTATTTTTCAAAATATAGTCCGCCCCCCCCACAAGGTCTGAGGGACAATGGACCGGCCCCCTGCTGAAAAAGTTTGCTGACCCCAGGTCTATAACCATTTCAGCATGCTGACTGCCAGTGAAGCTGAGGGGATGCAGTTGACTTTTCCAGTGGTATCCACAGTCTGTGCTGCTCAGTAATTTTTTATTGGGGTGTCACATCTCAAAGCAACAGCATGGGATCAGCTCAGTTATGTCTGAGTTCTGTTTGCTTAGGAAATTCTAATTGCCCCAGCAATTAAAGGCTAAACATGAAGCTCTTTGGGTTAGACCAGATCTATTTAGTGAGCCAATGTGGTGTCAGACTTGGACCTGGGAGACCAGATTTCAAATCACCATCAGGTCATGAACCTCACTAGGTGACCTTGGGCCTTTCACTGCATCACAGTTTACCTGTTGGCAAAAAAATCATTCAAGACTATCATTTTAATATATATTTTTAGATTTTATTCCATAATTTCATTTTACCCTACCACACAGGGTTGTTGTGGGGATTAAAGGAGGTGAAAAAGAAAAAAGGTGGAATATAAATGCAGTAAAGAAATTAAAATAAATAATAAAAATAGGTTCAACGTGATGTTGGCAAACTAATTTGGACTTAACAGCCATTTATGTCCAGGAGCTCAAACACAACACGTTTGGTGTCTTTTGGTGAAATAAATACTGAAATTTAAAGAAGCTTTTTGCTGGAATGGTTTATAATCCTTTGCCTCACAGCCAAACAGCATTTGTCTCTCATCTCCAGAGACAGCTTCAATACTTTCCCGTAGTTTCTGGTTAAGCGGGGAGCAGCAGAAAGATGCAAGAACGCTCATTTTCAAAGGATGTAATTTTAAGGAAAATTAAGTTTTACTGGTACTTCCATCCAAAATTATGCAGCATTAGTTACATTTTGCCATCTACAATTGGATTAATCTGCGGCAGCCTAATGAAGTGCAATTTGTAAATGAGCTGTTTGTTTCTCTGAGAGGATAGCCTCAGTTGTCTTTTCTGTCAAGTCTCCTTCCAGTTGCTGCATTGTTAATCAAGGATGTCAAAGTCTCGCTCTTTTTAAATTAGGGAGGCTTTCTGAAGTTGTCACTCCACTTGGCTCTTTTAACGAGGAGCGAGAAAGGCAGGCGTTCTGCGCACGTTAAAGAAGAGGTTGGTTTTTTCAGAGCCCCGGTGAAGCAGAAAAACCTGCCTGCTATGGCACATCTTCCAACCCACCATTAAAAAAACACATTCCCACCCCCCACCCCGCAAAGAAACCCCCTGCTCTCAGCAATCAGGTTTCCTTGTAGAACATTTCTCAGGCTAGCTATTCATCATGCTTTAGTATGACAGAGGATGAAAGCAAAGAACAATTGCGTTATGATTATGAAAAAGATCAAAAGGGGAGGGGGAGAAACCCAGCCACTTCACCCTGTCTTCTCTGGAACTGTCAATGTGATGCAAAATGCTGGAGAGACATTAGCCCTGAGGAGGGTTAAATTAAATATTTACAAGAGCGCTGTAGGCAGCACATCCACCCTGCCATATAATTAGAGCTGAGCCCACCCCGAAAATAGGATGTTGAGCGTCCTATTTTCAGGATACAAGGAAAGCCTCCCCTTCTGGTGATTTTAGGGAGACCCTGCAAAGTGCTCAGCATGCAATTTGCCAGCAGCGGCACATCAGTGGTTGCCAGTTAGCCAGGTACTGCAGACCCTTGTTTTTCAAAAGCCAAGCCATTGAACTTCTATTTTTGGAAATTTAGATAACTCTATGGTACTTTTTCTCATGTGAATGGTGTCACAGACCCTACTGGGTGGGTTACGTAGACGACCAATGGGGAACCATTGATCTAGATTTTTACAACTGAAAACTTTAAAGCACTACAAACTTTTTTTGTGCAGCTCAGCAGTCTAGTACTGGTCAAGCCATATGCAGAGACCATTGTCAGGGTCACTTGAATCATGCTTAGATTTTTTGGGGGGGAGGGAGGTCCATATTAACTAGCTCCAAGTTTGACACCTAAAATTTCATCTGGAGGTATGTTTACATTAGGGCTGTAACCCAAAAAATTCCTGCATTTCCTTTTGCTATTCTCCATCAATTAATATGAAAATAAATTGTATTTATCAAAGGGGAGAGAAAATGTCTGACATTCTTGTGAGTGTGATATATGGTCTTTTGATGCACTTATCTTACTTCTAAGGTAGCCAAGGGAAGTTTGAGTATTATTTCTTTCATTCCTCAAATCATCTCTCCAGTGGTCTGCAATTTGCAGCCTTCCCAGGTTGCAAACTGCCTGCATTTCAATCAAAGTCTTTCTTTTGGTTTTTTTTAGAGGGGAGGGGGAGTAATTCCTCCTTTGGAGCTTTTTTCAGATCAGGAAGCATGAGGCAGCCAGGGAGGCTGCAGAGTGCTGAAGGACTTTTTCTTTTCCTTTTTACTGCAAACGGAAATAATTTCCATCTCCCTTGGCCACCTTGCAAACACTAGAGTAAGCTCTAAACCCTGCACTGAGACAGAAGAATGGAGGCCTGTTTCACAGAGGAATAAATGTTGAGGAATTGGAGAAAGGTGCC